TGAGCAGGATAATTCTGAAGTGTGTGCTCTACACCATCTCCCAGGATTCCCCTACAGAAATGAGCTTGTCACCCACAGTGGCAGCTGGCATGATAGGGTACCTTTATTGATCGCTTCCCCTTCACCATCTTACCACTATCAGTATTCCCTTCACTTTTCAAATAAACTCCTTATACTCGAATCCTCGCCCCAGGGCCTCTTTCTTGGAGAACCATATTAAGATAGGTTTCTACCTGCAAGTTTCAAACTCAGTGCTAACAGAGACCAGGCAGGAAATAAAATTTAATAAATAGGGGAAGAATCCAATTTCCTATCCTTTCAATATTTGTGTCTTCTACAACCCTCGTCGCTGGTTAAAACAAAAATGCGAAGCTCAGCAAGACTCTTGACTATTAAGGATAAATCTAGTTATGATGATGAGACCCAGCCATGGTATGCGTTTTAAGGTAGGGAAGTGAATTTAAAGATGTTACACAGACGCTTATCACAATAGCTTCAGACAAAAAAAGTCTCCTGGAAGATTTACCTTAATTTCCGTTAACTAGAAATTTCCTTTCCTGCAGCCATTCCCTGTATGTTCTGAGCATTAAAGGTTTAGCTCTCTAGGCTAATATTGGTGCTTTCTAGTGAAAACCCAGACAGATTAGGATGTAGGGCCCTGGAAACATACATGCCAGCCCCAACAGCATCACATATAATCAGTTTTATTGCCAGGTAAGAAATTCATATTAATATAGTGAATACATATGTTTACAAATAAACATTCTTAGAAAACAAACAAATGTTTTTTGTTTTTTTTCTTCATTGTAGGAAGTATTATTGGTATCATAAACTCTGCAGTTGTTGACAAGTATTAACACAGGTTTACTTGCAGAACGTATGGTTACTAAAATATTCGCACATAAAATATGCTCCATTTACACAAAAAAACTGGGAGGAGTCAGGTGGGGATGCCAGGCGGAGCCCAAGGGGGTGAAGGCTGAGACACCTTGGGGGGTAAAGGGAAGTCAGATGGTGGTCCCTTTGGGCTGAAAGTCAGGGGACAGCGAAAGGCAAGAACAGAGGCCAGTGTCAGGGCGTGGGGTGGGGAGGGGAGTGTCTCTCTGCTTTGTTCTGGTTTCTCTCTTCTTGGTCTCCCCACTCTAGCTATAGGATTCTTTTCTTGGTACATGGCATAGACAGTCGCATCCCCTCTTTCAGTATCATGAAGTCTTTCTACTTTCCCTAGATACCTAAGAATAAACAAATCTTCCCTGTCCAACCCCCAGCCCCTTGGTTCAACTCCCAATGCCAACTGGGAAGATAACGAGGCTGAAAAGGACTACCCTTCTTGAGTTGTCTTCACTGCTCTATTCAATTGATCAGGCTGTATCCTTGCTGCCACAATTGTAACTGCAGACCCAAAGTAGCCAAGTCCCATGGATGAAGTTCACTCAGAAGAGGAGGAGCATGGAGAAGAAATAAAATACTGTAGATTCAGAAACCAAGAAAGACCCTTAATCAGGGTTGGAGTAAGGATGAAATGAAGTGGGTTGAAGGCAAGGGGCAAAGATGAGCTAAAAGGGGTACTGGAATTACAGAATTTTGAGTCGGAGGGAAACTTACAGATAAGCCAACCCAGTATTTACTGAAGTGCAGGCTGTGTACCACTAATGTATGCAGAACGTAGTACATGGATATAAACCAAAAAAACCCATTGCTGCTTAGCTGATTCTGACTCATAGCAAACCTACAGGACAGAGTAGAACTGACCCATAGAGTTTCCGAGATGGAAGCTGGTGGATTCGAACTGCTGTTCTTCACCACTACACCACCAGGGTTTCCATACATGGATATAGCTAGCGCTAATTAACACTGAGTCACACAGGAAAGGACTCCCTTCTCATTTATGTTTCAGTCCATCTGAGTTCTTCAAGGAAAAGTTTCTATTGGGTGATAAACTGTCTTTAACACCTCTTTAACACCGGTTGTTGCTGGGTGCCACTGGAATCCATTCTGACTCATAGCAAGTCATGTGTTATAGCACAGAACTGCCCCATAGGGTTTTCTTGGCTGTAATCTTTATAGAAGCAGATGGCTGGGTCTTTCTCCTGTAGAGCCGCTGGGTAGGTTCAAACTGCCAACCTTTTGGTTAGCAGCCAAGTGCTTAACCATTGCCACCAAAACAAAACAAAAAAACCCATTACTGTTGAGTCGATTACAACTTATAGCAACCCTGTAGGACAGAGTAGAACTGTCCCCTAGGGTTTCAAGGCTGTAATCTTTATGGAAGCAGACTGCCACATCTTTATCCTGCGGAGCGGCTGGTGGGTTTGAACTACCGACTTTTTGGTTAGCAGTCAAGCATTTTAACCATTGTGCCACTAGGGCTCCTTTAATATTTGATAATCTGTTTTAAATTAACAGAGAGAGAAAGAGAATCAAGCTTCAGGTTCAGATCCTTCTACACCCAACAGTATCTAGCTAGAATTTAACAAAGCTGCTTTGTTTTCTTTGTAATTATTCTTATGCTTACTATTTATGGCAATTGATACTGGTTTTCTATTTGTGATGATGGCATGAAGTTTCCCCTTAAAAACTAAATTAAAAATGAATCTATTTAAATACAGGTATCAGGAAGGTGATACATAAATACGCCCAAAGCGTGGTGCAGGTGTGTAGGTAACTAATGTCAAGGAAATATTGATCAGGGCCATTGGTGTTCACTCTACTCTGAGGTTTAAATACCCCACCCCTGCTTCGGGAAGCAGAGTGTACCTTTATAAATGGGAATCTTCTACGGTGGGTTCTCAGATTTCATTTTTAAAAATGGGTAGAGGTTTTGTTGTTTCAAAAAGCTTGATCTAGCCCCAAATCCCCACGTTTTAGATAGAGAGACAAAGGCCCAGAGAGACAAAAGGCATTGCCAGTATCCCTGGACCAGCTGGGAATAAGAAGGAGAATAAACACTTGGTTTCCCTGAATCTATGATACCAGGGAAAAGAGATGGGTGAGACTGAGGGAGAGCAGAATGTTGGGGTTCAGGATTCTGGGGAACGCTCAGAGTCTTGCTCAACCAGATCATTTGCAGTTTCTGGCCCCAGAGAAGCTGGGGGTCTCTTGGTGGTGCCTCTTCATTAGCTAAGACCCTTGCTGTTGTTCTTAGGTGCTGTCGAGTCGATTTCAACTCATGGTGACCGCATGTGATGGAGTAGAACTGCCCCATAGGGTTTGCTAAGCTATAATCTTTACAGAAGCAGATTGCCAGGTCTTTCTCCCAAAGAGCTGCTGGGTGGGTATGAACTACCAACCCTTCTGTTAGGAGCTGAGTGTTTAACTGTTACGCCACCAGGGCTCCTTAGCTAAGACCCTTAGGGACTGGCTGCAGACAGCGTACCTTAAATGAAAATCTTTTCCCCTCAACTCCCCTCTTCGGGCTTCTACTAAGCAAACACAACTAATACGAAAATCGTCTGTCTTGGGGCAACCGAGGGCTATTAGCTACGTGAACCAATCTGAAAAATCACCTCGGGAAATTCTGGGTATGGGGGTGAATGCATTGACGTATCTGGGGAGGTGGTTTGGAGGGACCATGGGAATTATGGGATCCAGAAATGTATGATAGGTTTCGGGGCTAGAAAATGGTAGGACTCGTGGAATGTTGACAGTATGGGGGCGTAGAGAGAAGGTCTTCATCCTCAAGTACCCCTGACTTTGCAGCAGCCCCCTCAAAGGGTGTTAATAGGGCAGGCTCACCAAGGAAAGGAAGGATGAAAATATCTGCTACTGCAGAAGAACAGGAGGGAGGAAGGCTAAAAGAACACAGGTCGCACTTGGGAAACAAGACTCATTAAACAACAGTAACACATTGAAGGCACCACCCACGCTTAAGTCATCTTCAGTCCAAAGCAGCTGAAGTTCGGCAGCGGCGGCAGCAATGAGCTGAAGGGGAAGGGAAGTCAGGGCCAGACAGTTGATAGTGGACTTGTTTCTGTGTCTGTTTCCTGTCTCAGAGGCGAGAGAGAAACACTGGAAATTGAAGACTTCTGTCTGGGTCCTCTTCTCACCTCCTGTAGACTCTTCCAACTGCGGAATTTTTTTTTTTTTTTGTTAATGTCATTGTCGATTTCTGAAGTATTCAAGATTTTGGATATAATTTGCTGTTCTCATTTTGTAGTGGGCTGATCATTTTATTTTTCTTTAAAAAACGTGTTGTTGTTGTTTTTTAATATTCTCTGGACCCTCTCCCCACCAGAGAAGCCCATCCCTCCCATTTCCAGGATCATGGTCTTTATGGAAGTTCTCTAAAATTTTCCTTCCTTCCCATCTCTGTCGGTGGGTTCAGAGTCTAGTTGTTTGTGAGTTCGTGTGTGTGTTGTTTTTTGCTTCCAACACTAATGATATGAAAAGTTCTATAAATGGAATGGTTGGGGTCCAGTGACTGTCTCATGCTTGTCGAAATTTTAGGTCCACTTCTTGGGATTAGAAAATGCTTATTATGTGCATACCTTCCTCCCAAAATAACTGTTCTTCTGAAGTGTGCTCTTCCCTTGTATTCACCCCCATGCTCCAATCCCATTCACCGTGGCTCTTTCACCCAGAAACAGACAGCGCACGGCAAATGCCGTATGTGCTCAAACGGTCAATTTCTCTAAATTGTGCTACTTCTGTTTTTTCATCATGGATTTCGGTTTCAAGTTAGAAGAAAAGAAAACTTAGCCCCATAGTTTGGGCATGTGAGCCAGCCATTTCGGGCCTGAAGTCGAAAGAGCTTGCCTCAGTCTCCCCTTTGCTGTATTGCTGAATGTCCATGCTTCAGTCTCCCTCCGCTGCCCACCGACACGTGTTAGCCATGACGCAGGAGAAGCGTGATTCCGTGTCACCGGCAGGTTGGTAATCGGTTCGTGTGGAGAGTGTGAGTGTGGGTGTATGTGTGGGGAGGAGAGGGAGGGTATGGGCCGGGGTATTTTTTGCCTCTCTCAGTTGAGTGTGGTCTCCAGGATGCTCCCTGCAGTGAAAACTCAGACAGTCACTTCTGTTTTGCTGTTGGTGATGAAGTATGGCTGTGGGGGTGGGTAGTGCTGACTGCGAGTTCCCAAGGGGTCGCTGGAGCCTGACTCGGCCGTGCCCAGCTTGCCCTTGTTGCCGTAAGCCTGCCGCCGGAGGGACTGCTCGTTGGGGTCCCAGCCCTTGAAGTTGGTGGTGGTGGAGTTGTAGGCCAGGGGGTGTGGGGGCATCTTATTGGTGCGGGACTTCTGTCCGTTCTGTTTGGCAGGCCCGTGCTCGGGGCTGAAGGCCCGCGGCTCATCCTCCACTCTCACGGGGTGCAGGGGTAGGTTCCCCTTGGCAGCCAGCTCAGCCAGGTGCCGTCGCTTGGAGTAGAAGTCGTCATTGACCTTGTCGGCTGTACAGGGGGATGGGTGGATAAAGAAGGGGAGGAGAGAGGAGAGAGAGGAGAAAGAGAGAGAGTTAAGGATTGACAGGTAAACCACAGAACAGCATAAAAATGGGCCAACAATCCAAACAAGACACACACTAGAAACTGCAGCTGGAACAAGACAGAGGGAAGGGCAGGGCCATGTCCTTTCTGCAAACAGGAGCAGGGCCAAGAGGGTGAGGGCATTCCCAGTGGAATCTCTACCCCGCTGCCATTGAGTCGATTTCAGTTCATGGCGACCCCACGTGTTACAGAGTAGAACAGAGCTCCATAGGGTTTTCTTGACTGTAATCTTTATGGCAGAAGATGGCAAGGACTTTACTCCATGGCACTGTTGGGTGGGTTCGAACCACCAACCTTTCGGTTAGTAGATGAGTGCAAACTATTTGTGCCACCAAGGGAATCTATATATCCTCCAAAACAAACACTTCTCCCAACACAGTCACACCTATGACTCTGCAATCCTTTGCTTTCTTACAAAATTCAAGTTTTGTTTCTTTGTTATTAAAAGGATGTATTCTCATTAGAGAAAATATTGAACATGTTGATATTCATATCTATCGTCTACCACTCAAGACAGCCAATATCAACATTTGGGTATGTTTTTTTCTGGCCTTCCCAGTAAACAGAGTTGAATTTGGAATTTTCCCTTGTTTGTTTGCTTACTTTTGTTTTTGCTTTAAACAGTTATGCAGATCCATGTTCAAATCCCAACGCTGCCATCTACCAGCTGTGTAACTTTGACTAAATGACTTAACTTCTATTACCATTGGGTCCTGCATATGGAAGGTAACTACAATAAAGAAGTATATTTGATAGGGTTGTCTGAAGGGTTAAAGAGGCAATGTATGGAAAGTGCTTAGATATCAGCCATCGTCACTGTCATCATTATTATTATAAATAACTTTGCCAAAGGTTCTCATGTAACATTCTATCAAGCATTTTCCCATGTTGCTAGAAATTATGAATAAGTAGCATTTGGATGCCTACATAATATTTCATTAAGTGGAACTACCAAAATTAATCAATCTCCCTATTGATGCACATTCAAATTATGCCAATATTTTGCTATTATAAACAAGGCTAGATGAGAATCTTCCGTCCTAACCCTCTCTTTGTGTCTAGAATTTTAAATTTAGAATACTTTTTAAAAATATTTTCTCAGTCTACATCAGGGAATGGTAAACTATGGCCCACAGGCCAAATCCAGTCTGCAGCCTATATTTGTAAATAGTTTTATGGGAATACAGCCACACCCATTCATTTACATATTGTCTACGGCTGTTTTCACTCTGATATGGGAAAGCTGATTACTTGTGATAGAGACTGTATGGCCTGCAAAGCCTGAAATATTTACTATCCAGCTCTTTACTAAAAAAGTTTGCTGACCCCTGGTCTAGATTACCTAAAGTGGAATTACTTGGCCAAAGGATTTAGACATTGTTAAGGCTCTTGACACATACTGCTAACTACTCTCCAAAAGGGTTATACCAATTTCCACTCCATTTCACCACACTGCCTCCAGCACTGACTGACTAATGGATTTGCTAATTTTATGAGACCTCCTTTTATTTTCTCTTTATTTAACTTACTATTCTTTCATACTTTTAATTTCTTAACAATAGACCTGTTCAACCTATATCACCCAGATCAGAAATATTCACTGCTCTTTCATCTACATTTCTAACTTTCCAAACTACTGCACCTATGAGTTCATGTAAACTCACAGAGGCCATCACAGTTCCATGCTTCTTTTCTCATCTGACCCTTTAAAGAATCCCCAGAGACAGGAAAGATGGGGATTTTGTCCCCTGTTTGGCAGATGAGAAAACAGTTTAGGCCAGGGACATGATGTGACATCTTTTCAGAAAGTTCTAAAGGAAAATAGACTCAGAGGCATTCAACTCTTGCCATATCAGTGCAGATGTGGGAGAAGTCCCCAGGAAGAGGAATTACTGAGTCCCATGTGTATGATCTGCATTCTCCTCCATATCCAACCATTTTCTTGGATCCACTGAGTTGGCCATTTGGTGAAGCTGGCATTGGGTACCCCCGGGCATAGAAAGTGCTTAACATTTGGGGCAAGACTTGAATGAACGAGAAAGTCTGTGGGCTCTGGAGTCAGGCCGACCTGAATTTATGTCACATCAGTAATGTTACTTAACTTCTTATTCTTCTATTTCCTCACATGTAAAATGGAGATAATAGTAACTACTCCCTGGATTATTATGAGGAATAGATTTTGCCAGATATACAGGCTATACAGCACAATAGCAACAACCATTCAACATATTTTATCTGTCACCTGTCTTATGAAAGAAGCACTGGATGAGATTCAACATTTATTGAGCACTTAGTCTGTGCCAGGTGACCTACTAGGCACAAGGAAGGTAGTCATCAACCCAACCATCCTTTTCTTCTTTCTTCCCTTCCTCCTATCTACCATGTTTGTTGAGTGCCTAATTTGCCCTATGATTGAGCATAAAAAGAGGGTTTGATCTATTTTGTGGGAACCGCTCAGGAAACCCTGGTGGCACAGTGCTTAAGAGCTACAGCTGCTAACCAAAAGGCCGGCAGTTCAAATCCACCAGGCACTCCTTGGAAACTTTATGGGGCAGTTCTACTCTGTCCTATAGGGTCCCTATGAGTCGGAATCAACTCAACGGCAATAGGTTTGGTTTGGTTTTTTTGGTTTAGGGAAGGCTTCCTTGACGAAGTGCTTTTTAGCTGAGATTTGAATGTGAAGAGTAACAAAAACAACATTCATGGCAAGAAAACATGTGATACATGGGAAGAATGGCCAGAGTACTTTGCAGTTCCTTCCATCAAGAGGTGGAGTCTGCTTCCCCACCTACTGAACCTGGGATGGCCTGTGGCTGGCTTTGACCAGTAGAATGTGGCAGAATCCTGAGCCTAGGCTTTTAGGAGCTGTGAAGCCTCAGTTATCATACTCTTTGAACCCTGCCTTCATGTGAAGAAGGAAGCCTAAGCTAGCCTCCTGGAGAATAAGGTCAGCCAACATAGCCAACAGCCTGCTAACTGCCAGATACATGAATGAGGCCATCCTAGATCATACGGTCATCACCCAGCCTGCCAGCTGGCCACAGTTACTGAGCAAGCCCATGTGAGAGCAGGCAACGTAGCCCAAACCAGCAGAACTGTCCCAGCAGACACAGAACATGAGTCAAACAAGTAATTGTTATGCTAAGCCACTAGGAGTCCCTGGATGGTGCAAACAGTCAATGCACTCAGTTGCTAACTGAAAGGCTGGAGGTTCAAGTGCACCCACAGGTGCCTCAGAAGAAAGGCCTGGTGATCGACTTCTGAAAAAATTAGCAAGTAGAAAACTCTATGGAGCACAGATCTACTCTGACACACGTGGGGTCACCATGAGTGGGAGTTAACTCAATGTCAACTGTTTTGTTTTGTTTTTATGTTTGAGCCAAGAAGTATGGGGCAACTGGTTATGCAGCAATAGATAAGTGGTACACAACAGCTTTTGCAGAATTCCTGACACAGAAGGAGCACGGTAGCTTCCAGAAACTGAAAGGATGTCTGTGTGGTGGAGTGAAGAAGGCAAGGGGGCACCAGATCACCTACTGCCCTGTAGACCAGATTGGATCATCCACATCTATAATATGTCTGACCACACCCCCTCCACTAGACTCAGGTGTTTTAGGGATGTGCCTAGGCTGGCACAGATTTGGTGCCTGGGGCAGGAAGCTATCCTCCAAAGAGATATTTTCAAGATAATTTGGACAACAAGGGAGTTGGGGAGTTAGGTGGATGAACTGTTGCCGTAACGAGGAAATGCAATTTTCATGAAGCTCCGTTTCCACAGTTATTTCTGGTTCCTTCTGATTTGGATCCGGAGGAGGAGGAGGAAGAAATGCTTACCAGGCCTCTCTGGGCTTTGTGCAGTGTGGTCCCTGTCTTAATATATTAAAAAAGCTCCTTATGAAAGAAATAACGGATCCACTGAACAGCCTTGTAAGGCCCATTAATAAATGCATTAACCTAATCAGCCCTGGTACCTCGTGGGCAGATGGCTGACAAGCCGACCAGGAAACAGATGTGTAAGGCCTTCAACAACACTGGTCCTCTCAGTTTGATTTTGCTTCGTTTAAAAAGAGGAAGAAAGAAGAAAAGAAAAAGCTGCTTTCTTTCCAATGAGCCTAATTGCCTTGAAGGAACCAGGGCTGTAAAATTAAACTGTACCTTCCTCCATCTGTCTCTCTCTTAATTAGAAGCAGACACTTGTACAGGTGCAGGGCAGGATGGAGCCTTGCTTCCATGGAAATGGAGTGACTCAAGGTAATACCCAGTTTTCAAAACAGGCTGCACATCTGAGGGTCTCGGCAGGTGGCCTCCCACCTACCATCTTTCTTTGGCCCAAAGCCACCTCAAGGAAGGGTTCCTACCACTCATTCTCACCAGGTGATGAATTTCACCTGGTAAGTGATGTCCCAACTAAAGCTTTCACCATTGCTCATCTGCCTCCGTCTTTGATCCACAAATATGATGAAAGGGAGTGATTAATCTTCCCATCACACTCAAGAATAAGATTCTAATTCTTTCCAGTGGTCTACAAAGTCTGCATTACTTGGACTCTAGCTACCTGTCCACCTTTATCTCTTCCAGCCTTACCCAGGGTCCCTTTCTGTTCCTGAACACGCCAACCTTATCACCATCTCAGGGCCTTTGGACTGTATCACTGCTATTCTCTGCCAAAGCATTCTTCTTTTTAGTTGCATATCTGATCCCTCTGTCATTTGGTTCTCTGATCCAAGGTCACCTTCTCAATAAAGCCCTCCCTATAACCCAATGAAAAGAGCCCCACCCAATTTGCTCTCATCACCTCTCCCTATTTTCAAAAGTCGGCCCCCAACACATGGTGAACCCACATACCACAGAAAGAAACATTGCCTGATCTGGCGCCATTCCCATGATCAGTTGCAGACTGGACC